GAGTGTTTAAAAAATTTTACATATAATTTTACATTTTAAATAGCAAGACACTTTAATTTTTACTTTTCACTTAAAATTTACTTATTAACAATTTAATTTTACATAAATATTTTGTTCAGTCCATCCTGTACTTAAAAATAACTATTAACAAGTAAACAAAATAGCCTTAATGGATCAAATTATTAATGTCATTTGGAAAATGATAAATGGGACCTAGAGTAATGTTTTTAAATGCAGTCCATCTTGGAAGAAACTATTTTCTTAATTTTGATGCTGTAGTGGTACTTTTTCTCTAATAAAATTTCACAAATATTAGAAGGAAAAAAACTAAAAATCATGACGTCTAACTGGTTGTAGAATTGTTCAAAATCAAATACCCTTTAATAAATTTATGTTTATTTATTTAAGTTATTTAAATTTTTTATTAATACTCTTTTTTTAATTAAATTTTATTATTACTCTTTACATTTTAATACGTCGCAGTTACTCAGAAGCAAAAATGTGCTTACATGTTCCGGAGTCTGTTCCTAAAGCCCAAAAGCCCAAAACCCCGTCAATCACAACACCTATACCGACGACAACATTTTTAAACATCTAAAAACTGTTTTTAGAGGCAAATTGTATTTATTCATTTTGTAAAAGTATTTAAATAATTTTAATAAAATAATATAAAAATAATATAAAAATAAATTTAAAAACATTTAAATAATTTTATAAAAACGGTGTTATGTTTAAACACTCCGGTACTGGAAACACATTACGAAGCATGTCTATGAATGGGGAAGGAATTAGTAGTGGTTCTCTCCTCTCAAAGGGCCAGGGCAGTCTATGAGGGCCGGCTTTCTACGTTCGCGCCATTTCTCCACGGCCAAGCGGCTACAATCCTTGGTTTCCTCAACTCCAAGGCCTGATTTTTCTCCACATAACACTGTTATTCTTACGGAAGAACTGTGTGCCAATGTATTGGACCGATACCCAGATGTTCAAACACTGAGGAAACTCCATTTGAAGATACTTATTAGCCCTCATCTTCACTGTAACTCGTCTCTTGGCATCAAATTAATGAGAGCTTATGCGGCTCGTGGGGAGCCCAAAGTCGCACGCCACATATTCGATGAAATTACTGAGAAGGACGTTATTTTTTTTAATGTCATGATAAGAAGTTATGTGAACAACCATTTATACCATGATGCTCTTTTACTTTTCAAAATAATGAACAGCAGTGGAATTAATCCGGATCATTATACGTACCCTTGCGTCCTGAAGGCATGTTCTGGATCGGATAATTTGCAGGTTGGAATGCAGATTCATGGTGCTGTGATGAAAGTGGGTCTCGATTCTAATCTATTTTGTGGAAATGGGCTGATTGCCATGTATGGCAAGTCTAGTTATTTGGTGGAGGCTAGGCAAATTATTGAAGAAATGCCAAGAAGAGATGTGATTTCCTGGAACTCGCTGGTTGCTGGGTATGCTCAAAATGGACTTTTTGGTGATGCATTGGAGGTTTGTAGGGAGTTGGAGCTCTCTGGTCTAAAACCTGACGCTGGTACTATGGCCAGCCTCTCTCTGGCTGTCACTAACACTTCCCTTGATCATGTTTTGTATGTTAAAGAAATGTTCTTGAAGCTGGCAAAAAAGAGTTTGGTTTCTTGGAATGTTATGATTGCAGTCTATGTGAAGAATTCAATGTCAGCTGAAGCAATTGATTTGTATTCTCAAATGGAGGCACAAGGTATGGAACCGGATTCAATTACTATTGCTACTATTCTTCCTGCTTGTGGTGATCTTTCATCTATATTGCTTGGTAGACAGATCCATGAATATGTTAAAAAGAAGAAGCTCTGCCCAAATTTGTCATTGGAGAATGCATTAATTGACATGTATGCAAAATGTGGCTGCCTAAATGAGGCAAGAGCAGTATTTGATCTGATGAAGTTTCGAGATGTTGTGTCATGGACTTCTATGATATCTGCTTATGGAATGAGTGGCAAAGGTCATGATGCTGTAACCCTCTTTTCAAAAATGCAACACTCAGGTCTGAGTCCAGATTCCATTGCCTTCGTAGCAGTTCTCTCAGCTTGTAGCCATTCAGGACTGTTGGATGAGGGCTGGTACCACTTTAGGTTGATGACTGAGCAGCACAAAATAACTGCAAGGATAGAGCACTTTGCTTGTATGGTAGACTTATTAGGACGTGGTGGACAAGTAGATGAGGCCTACAATTTCATCAAAGAAATGCCAATAGGGCCTAATGAAAGAGTATGGGGAGCTCTGTTGGGTGCTTGTTGGATGCACTCCAACATGAGAATTGGGCTTCTTGCTGCCGATCAACTTTTCCAATTAGCCCCAGATCCTTCTGGTTATTATGTTTTGTTGTCCAACATTTTTGCAAAGGCTGGTCGATGGGAAGAGGTGACCACTCTCAGATCAATAATGAAGAGAAAAGGAATCAAGAAAATGCCTGGTGCTAGCAATGCTGAACTCAATGGCCAGGTTTATACCTTTCTTGCTGGTGACCAGTCAAATCCACAGTCCAAAGAAATCTATGAGGAGTTAGAGTCTTTATTAGGGAAAATGAAAGCAGAAGGTTATGTTCCAGAGACAAAGTCTGCACTTCATGATGTGGAAGAAGAAGATAAGGAAAGTCATCTAGCAGTTCACAGTGAAAAGCTAGCTATCGTCTTTGCCATTTTGAATACTGAGCCTGGGACACCTATTAGGGTTACAAAGAATCTTCGAATCTGTGGGGATTGCCATATTGCTGCTAAGCTCATTTCCAAAATTGCTGAACGTGAAATTATTGTTAGGGACACTAATAGGTTTCACCATTTCCAGTATGGTGTTTGCTCATGTCAGGATTACTGGTGATCAAGATTTTATTTATCAAATCACTAATGACCCATTTTGATTTGTACACAGAAGCATGAGTTTTTTACTTCAGAATTGTATTGGAAATAACAGGTATCATATTTTTATATTATTTATCAGTACTTATTTGTTTTTCTCCCTTTTTCGTTTCTCATTTCATATAATAGAAACTTCTCATTCTTCTACATTATGTTTAATTTTAGACAGAGTTGTGAAGGCAACATTGAACATCTTAATTACCTATACTTGGACTTTACTCTTCTTCTAGTGCCATTGGCTTCAAGGCATGTTTCTCACATTTCATATCTTTATCATTTGTTAACTGCTTGAAGCGGGTGTATTAGCTTTCTTCTTGTATTTATTCATTTCTTGGTGTCTCTTCAACCTATTATGCTTTTATTCCTTCGGGTTCTAGTTTTCTTGTCATATATATATATATATATATATATTGTAGTTAGGGTTTAGTTTACTTTGA